AGTGTTAAATTGCTTGCTGGTGTTTTAAGAAAGCCAGATGCCTGGATTGGACTCTGGGGTGTTCTCCGAGGGACACCTGCGTCATACAAACTCTGTACTTCCTGGAATCGATACTTGTATTTTTCTAGTACCAAGTTACGTGCACCAAATTATAAAACACTTTTCCATAATATTTTCTCACTGAGACTCCCAGGACTTTTACTATCTCCAGAATATATTTTTCCTTTTTCCATAAGACTCAAAAGTAATATAAGCTCTACAAAATCTACTAAAAAGTCTCTGCATAAAGTAGATGAAGAGGACTCTGATGAAGAAAACGATCATGACGAGATGAGTGAGCAGGAAGAGGAGCTTGAGGATGACCCTACTGTAGTCAAAGACTATAAAGACCTGGAAAAAGCAGTGCAGTCTTTTCGGTATGATGTTATCTTGAAGACGGGGCTAGATATTGGGAGAAAGTGAGTATGATACACATTTCATTATAAACTCACTCGTAGTCGTGTTATTTTAATGTAGCATTCCAAATCACTTGGCCCATATTATGGTGAAGAATAACCACAATAAAGGACCTTTATAGGTAACCTGTTTCAATTATTTCATTTTATAGATGAGCAGACTGATTTCCAAAGAAGTCAAGTGACTGCCTGCAAATCCCATGTGCCATATTAGAAAATTTGAATCTAAGACACAGTTGACTGTAAGATGAACCATTGATTTAATAACAGCTTCTTGAGGAGAAAATGAATCACCATATTAGATGTATGTAGCAAGCATAAAATGCACCAGGATATTTCACAAATGCTATAATGTGAAACGGTACCTCGGCTGGGCACGGTGGCTCCTGCCTGTAATCCCAGCACTTTGGGAGGCCGAGCTGCGTGGATCACAAGGTCAGGAGTTCAAGACAGCCTGGCCAATATGGTGAAACTCTGTCTCTACTGAAAATACAAAAATTAGCCAGGCGAGGTGGCAGGCGCCTGTAGTCCCAGCTACTTGGGAGGCTGAGGCAGGAGAATTGCTTGAACCTGGGAGTCAGAGGTTGTAGTGAGCCGAGGTCACGCCACTGCACTCCAGCCTGGGCAACAGAGCAAGACTCCATCTGGAAAAAAAAAAAAAAAAAAAGGTACCTCTTAGAATTAACAGCATGATGTATAATAAGATGATGGTTAAGAATGCAGGCTTTGGCCAGGCGCGGTGGTTCATGCCTGTAATCCCAACACTTTGGGAGGCTGAGGCAGGCAGATCACAAGGTCAGGAGATCGAGACCATTCTGGCTAGTACAGTGAAACCCAGTCTCTACTAAAAATACAAAAAATTAGCTAGGCGTGGTGACAGGCACCTGTACTCCCAGCTGCTCAGGAGGCTGAGACAGGAGAATGGCATGAACCTGGAGGTAGAGCTTGCAGTGAGCTGAGATGGCGCCACTGCACTCCAGCCTGGGCGACAGAGCGAGACTCCGTCTCAAAAAAAAAAAAAAACCAGAATGTGGGCTTTGGAGCCAGATTACTGGGTTTCAGT